AACGAGAAGAAAAACCCATTTGTATATACTGTTCGAAAAATCACATAAGCTCATATCGTGGCTGCAAAGTTTACAGACGCAGATTCAATCACTTAGAGAGAAAAAAAAAAAAAAAAAAAAAAAAAAAAAAAAAAAAAAAAACGTTCCTACTCTACCTAAAAAGGAAGATTTTCCTACCCTAAATAAAAATTCAGAACCAGAAAAGCAAGAATTCAAGAAAATGTCTTATAGCGATAAACAGAACCTTCCCCAGACGGAAGACATTGCGGATATATTCTCTATTTTTAAAGACCCCAAAGTCCTTTACTTCATGATAAATATCACAGAAAATTAAATCAGCAAATTCAACTACCCAGAAATTAATATTAGCCTTCCAAGCAATAGAAGAAATCGTGGAATTAGCAGATAAAGATTGATTATCACTCTTTCACCAAGCCAGTGTGGTAATAGTCGTGAGTTGCAAATCTTCACATCGTGAGTTACGGCCCCGGCACTTCTCGCGCTCCATTTTTAATCTAAGCCAGGGGGCGGCAACCTGCGGCTCCTTTGATGTAAAGTTGCGGCTCTCAAGTTCCACATGAAAAAATTAATAATTTATTATCGAAACCATACAAAACGAGAAGACATATTTTTAAGTACCTATTGTTTCTACTTGAACTATTGTTTTGTTCTTAGAGATAGACTCCTTAATTTTGCTTAAAAAGAAGAGAGGAACTGAAGAAGAAAACCGAGAATTCAATCAGGATTGGATGGAGCCCTTTGCATTTATACACAACACAGATGGCCGTCCGACTTGTCTAATTTGCCATGAAAAACTCGCACGCAATAGGAAGTCAAATTTGGAGAGACACTTTACTACAAAACATACGCAGTGTGCTAGTAAATATCCAACCGGTGATGCACGAAAAAAAAAAAAAACTATTGAAAGGTTAAAAAAAAAAAAAAAAAATCTGAAAGGTTTCAGATTTTAAATAACATCCAAAGAGACTTTTTTTTTAACATTTTGTGTGTTACCTTTATTTATTAAACAGCATGTTCTTGGCACTTGAACCATAAAATTCAGTTCCAGAGCAATATGGCAAAATAATTTTAAACTGAGTATGTCTTTAGAATTTCTGATGCACAGTCTCACGCGCTGGAGATAAAAATGCTTTTCTGTACAACGTTGCCATTGCTCGCTTTGAAATCCTTGAGCTTGTTAATTAAAAATTCGTTAATGTTTTACAAAATATGAAATCAATAATAAAACAAATTCCAAATTTGAACTTCCAGATGCCCAACCGGTGATGCGAATATACAGTAGGATTACGTCATTCAAAATTTGATGGCTCTAGGTACTGTTGTTTTATCACAATGCGAGAAACATACATACATTTATGTAGATTGTTCATTATTTAATTTCTTCAAATATAATACAATTCGATAATATTTGGTGGCGACAGTTTGAAAAGTGAAACGGACATTCAGAGTGATTCGACGCAAAATCGCAATACGAAAACAAGTCCCTCACGGACAAAGCCTCTTTGGACTAAAAAAAAGTCAAGTAACTGGGCGCAATCTTCAAATAATGTAAATATGGCAAACTTTGCAGTATCATTAGAAACTGCAAAAAGAGGAAAACAATTCAGAGATGGTTGTGTACGTCAAAGATTGTTTTATACGTGCATCTGAAGAACTGTTTTGTGACTTTAAAATCAAAGTAGAAATCGTGAAAAGAATCAAAGATTTGCCATTACCTGCAAAAACAGTACAAGATAGAACTGCTAAAATGTCTACAAATGTAACACATAGTGCCCGCAAGTGGAAGACATTCAACTGGCTTCTGCTTTATCACTTGCTACAAATGAGTCTTGCGACATAAAAAGATACGGCACAAGTTACCCTTTTCGTCAGGTATATGTCGGCCCAAGGTCCAAAAGAAGAACTGCTAGGATTGCTACCGCTCTCAGGGCTAACTCATGGAGAAGATATAGCAAGTGCTGTGCAAAAATGCCTGGAAGACAATGGAATCGATATAAATAAAATCGTTTTTATAGCAACTGATGGATCCAGAAATATGGCAGGAATACATAGAGGAAAAACAGCAATTCTTCAGGAAAAAAAAAAAAAAAAAAAAAAAAAAAAAAAAAAAAAAAAAAAAGAGCATGAAATTCTAACGTATCACTTCACAATTCATCACAAAGCGCTTTGTGTCCGAACATTTCCGGCCGAAATAGCTGAGAACATGAACTCGGTAATTAAGATTATTAACCAGCATATGGGCCAAACGCACTATACCATCGTCAGTTTAAAGATTTCCTTGACGAAATAGATAGCCGGTTTTCTGACCTACTTCTGCACAATAAAGTATGATGGCTTTCCAGAGGTAACATATTGCAACGTTTTCCTATATGCTTGCATGAAATAAAAATATTTCTCAATGAAAAAAGTATTGACCATCTCGAATTGGAAGAAGACAAATGGTTGCAAAAATTCAACTTCATGGTACATACCACGATGAAACTAAATCTAAAGATGCAAGGAAAAGTTAACCCAACCTACACCTTGCTTGAAGAAGTAGTTTATTTCGAGGAAAAAAAAATTACTTTATTATTATTAAAAAAATTGTTGTTGAAGACATGGAAAGCAGTAAATTACTTCATTTTAAAAATCTTAAGCAATATCACGATGATACCAATGCAACTATTGACACAAATTCCTTAAGCATAGCTTTAAAAACCATGAAGAATGGATTCGCTTGGATATTCGAGCAATAATAATAATAATAAAAAAAAAAAAAAAAAAAAACCCTCTCTCACACAAATACATATGAGATCAACACTGGGCCATTTGGAATTGATGCTGGATCGCTTCAAATGCAGTTGCTGGATTTGAAAAACCAAAGACTTGTTGAGTGGCAAGTTCACAGAACTCAAAGGCAAGTTAGAAGTCTAGAAATGCACGCATATCGCGCAGGTCTAAAAGAAATTCCGCGAGTTGAGGCTTTTGTATTTGGCCCATAGAATTGTCTTCCAGAATGCTACAGTGAGGTCAAGAAGTTGGCATATGCAGTGCCTGACAATCTTCGGGTCGACATATTCATGCGAGCTCTTGCATGAATATAATAAAAAGTAAAGTTAGGAATCAAATGACAAATAAAAATCTAGAGTCGTGCTTGAAACTTAAAACAACAAGTTATGAGACAGATCTAATCAAACTTTCAAAAGACATGCAAAGTCAATGCTCCCATTGATGTAACTATCTATATTTGTATTTTAATATGAATAAATATTTTTCTGTAATTAAAGCTATTTATTTAAAATCAAATATACATAAACAAATATTATAATATTGAAAGGAAAAATTTTAGTGGCTCTTTAAAAACTGGGAAATTTTGTAAATTGTAAACTTTGGCTCTTCCGTTTCAATAGGTTGCCAACCCCATTGTTCTTCACTTTCCTTTTGAACTTGCCATAAGATGGTGCCACATCTACTTCTCGTCTAGAGGACCTGCACTTAGTGCAATATTGAACGTTCCATTTATTAGGTTTCCACTTTTTTCACTTCTCAGAGCCCCGGTGGACTCAAAAATTTATATTGGTAAAGGCCGTTACCGGCCACGTACCTCTTACGTAGCTATGACCTCTAGCTACGACTATTGAATTCCTGTATTTTGTACGAAAAATTGCCATTTTGTTAATTGCTTTCCAGACGACCGACTTCTGACCAGATGCCATGAATTGCTACATTTACTATGATTGATTTCCTGCTAATGCCAAGATTATGTCAATGAATAGCTATAGATTAATAATTGCTATCTTATTACCAAATTGCTAGAAAGATTGTATGCTTGCCATGGTGAGTTCTTGCCTACGGGTGTTGATGCCAAACGGCATAATTTCTTTTCTATCATCGTGAAAGCCTTTGGCACCTGATTTGATTTACTAGTCAAGACTCCCAGAAGTCGATACTAGCCGGAGAAGATGTTCTAAAGTTCGAGAATATTTCCAAGAAAACCGCTAAAAATACGCTCTAGAATGTTCTCACTTCGTCTATGACAAATCGACAATTTTGTCACCAAATATTGCCAAATGGGCGATTTCACGCCAAATCTGGAATCCCATCCTTTCCTGACACTTTCTAGCAACCTAAGCCTACCGTTGACTCACGCTGCATTTCACTGAATTTTATTATTTAATTACTAAGTATTTTAATTATTTTATTGGTTACTTTAGCTTCTCTTTCTTAATAACCTTTCATAGGACTCCGTCACTTCCAATTTTAGAAATTAAGCGCTGATCAGTATACATACGTTTTTCATAGAAGTTTTAGTTGGTAATTGTATATTAAAAGCTATTTTTCACAATAACTTAATCTTATATCCTGTGTATTTTATTTTAAGACCTGTGTATCCTGTGTATTTTATTTTAAGATTTTAATCCATTCCTCTTCTTTCGTCTAATGCTTAAAAATGTTTTATGTAATCGTCTCTTATTGTTCCGAGGCAGGAAGCCGGCAGACATGTTATGCTGGAATTGGTCAGATGCACTCATAAATATAGCATAGCTGCTTCCTTTTCAATAAAAAAAATGGTCGAATATGGCATTGAGGGTTCAGGGCTGGGGCCAGAGCCGGTGCAACCTCAAGAGCTGCAGAATTTAGAGGCAGCAAAATTCTGAAGCTTATCTGCCTAAATTCTATATTCTGAAAGCGGCAGAATTTATCAGCTGCAGAGATTACACCAAGCGGCAAAATACCCAGCACCAGTCCTGGGAAAAGACATAATTGTTTCAGGCCTATTCTAGGAAGGTTAAAGTTTACCTTGTGAAAGGATATACAATAATTAGGGTATTTCTCAAGTAAACAGATCCTTAAAAGAAAAATTTCCTTTATTCGCACAAATTTTTACTTAACTATTTTTAAAAAATATGTGTCACTTCGCCATGTATCTACAGAGTTGAAAAACAATATTTTTTAATTAAAGTTTTCTAGAATTTTACAAAGTGTGACATGAGAAAAAATACAAAAAGCTATTTTATTTCTATTTAGACTAACACTTACAAAGTACCAACACAATAGCAAAAATAGACAAATATATTTCTAGTGAAATATAGTAACTTTTAAAAATTCGTGATATTAGATATAAAATTTCAGTTGATAAATTTGGAACAAAATCACATAAACATAAACGATTATATATGACAAGGCAGCAAAATACTCCACTTATATAGAATACAATGCAGCTAGTCAATTTCACATAACATAAATTTATCTTTGTTATTTTCTGTAAAATAATCCCATGCAGTTAATGTCAAAAAATGCAAAGATTTAAGAGGAAATAACAAGGATTGTTTAAATGACATTTCAGATTTACTTTAAAAAGGTGTTCCTATCTTATAAGAATGACTTATTTTCCCTTAATTTTTAATTGCAACACTATTAATATTTTTTTAATTCATTTTTTATTGATTTTCGATTTTTTTTAAATTATAAAATTCTTTAAAGTCAGTTTAGGATATGAAATGAAATAATCTGTATTAAGTTATCAATTTAAAATTGCATAATTTCCCTGTTATTAAATTTATTCAATTCAAAAATACATAATTTTAAAAACTTTGTCTTACTGAAATTTTGCTGTATTGATTTTTCTGTAACATTGTTTCAGATAGAAAAACAGATCCAAAAGCAATGGTAATATGCAGTTTCTTTAATCTCGTATTTAACCTATTGTTCATTTTCATATTCTGTATTTCTGTTTCACTGCTTTTATAAACATTTCTCATTTACATCAATACTAAAAGTACAAATATTCTTAAGCATCCATCCATACACACACACACACACACACACACAAAAAAAATAATAATAATAATAATAATAATACTTCAAATTTCTATTCTACATAATAGATAAATGCTTAAAACTGCCCAAGGGTCAAAAGCATGTTCATCTTTTCTGAATGCAGATCTATATTATACCAGTTGCAATTTTTACCCAAAAAATTAACATTTACAGTGCTGTTTAAAACTAGATATTATATTTTAATAAATGGTAGTGAAATGCAACAAAAATAAGTTTTTTTATTTACTGGGGGAGAAAGATTCATAATACTTACAATTTAATTTAATCATAATATATGTTAAATGTTTGATTCAACATTTTTTTTTAATGTTTAATTTTTCATACACACTGTGATCTGTTTCTACATTACAACTACTTTTAAATCTGTTTTCATTCATATGTTTATAGTACTTTAAAACTGAGTGTTCAAGGGAAAAAATAATAAATAAATGCAAAATACATCCGTATAAATTTTTTTTTTTAAACTGTGCATTTGTTAAAATAATTCCTATAAATTGTATTATGAAAGAAAAGTCATACAGTAAATTAGGAAAAGTAATAGCCTAAAGATTCAAGTTTTACTGCCCTCTTGGAAATTCAATTTTAAATTCCTCAAATTTTCAGTGTTTCCTATTTCTAATAGGAGAAGTAAATTTTAAAGTAATAAAGTACATTACAAAATACATATACTATGTATATTTGGCACAAACAAACAAGCATTTAAATGACTAACTGAAACTTGAAAAGTCGTCAGTTAAGATAAAAAAATTAATTTAAATTAAAACAATAAAAATTAGGCTTGTTACATTATTTAACAAATATGATATGAAACACACAATTCTTCTGAATTGAATCTAGAAGTGCAATGTTTAACACACAAAACTTTTGAGGCATGTATTAAAAATAAAACACTAAAGTTCTAAGATTGCCCTATACCCCCTATATCATTTTATCATAAATAGCTAAGATTAGGAATAAAGAGCTCTTAACCTTCTCAAAGTATCGTGTTTATTTGTGTGTATGTGTGTGGAAATAACACTGATAAATTTTCAACTTAATAATTTCACCATTATTTTTTAATATTCTGAACGCTACGAATTGGCAAAAATTGTCTTCATATTAAAATATTATGTAAATGTGTGGACTTGAACAAAAAATGTATGCATATTTTGAACAAGTTCCTTAGAACTACATATAAAAGCCAGAGCCAAAATCATTATAATTCAATTTGTACAAAGAAAAGTATAGAATATAAATCAATGATAAATTTAAAATAAAATGCAAAATATATTATTATTTTAAACCTAGGCATTAATGTATTTATAATAATATTAATAGCAATCTATTATTCTTTCAAAGAATTATTAACATTGGACTTAATACATTAATAAAAACTATAAAATCCTTGCCTCCCAGCTGCCAATTTAATTATGTATTTGATTAAAAATAATGTTTCAAGATTTAAACATCATCACAGGCAGCAAAACTAAATATCAGTTAATGTTTTTTATAACTCATTCCTACACAATTGTTAAAGTCAGTTACATAAGAATAAGTTACGAAATTCTATTGATTTAAAAAAAAATCTGTTTCTGTGTTCAATGTTTTTATGTAAAAAAATATAAGATAATTAAAGGTAGAATAAGTTAACATGTTTTTGGCATAGAGTAAATAATATAAAATTATCCATATTAACTTCAAAATTTTTATAAATTGTAACATATATCTTAATACAAAATGCAATAACATGCATTACCCATTGGATGATCTCCACTGCTGATTATGAGAAATTTTAAAGTACAGACTTTCTAATAATTTTATTCTTTGCACATACAACATAATAAACAGTGAAGTCTATGATACTATATATAAATATTTTTAATAAATTTTTAGCCTGTTACAATACTATTTTTAGCTTGTTACAGTAGATAACATGCTGTTGTGATACTGCACATACCATAACCCGAACATTTAACTGTACTTTTTATAGTTAAAACTATTTGATATTTGCATATTTGTATTACTTAACACACTCAACTATTTGGTCCTTACATAAAAAACAAAGAGTCTAAAAATGACTAGTGATAAAAAGTTTCATGATGTGAGGTTTTCTTTATAAATCTTTTCAGATGACAAAATACATTGGCGATTTTTCTTACATCGTGTGTAAAAATATAGTAAAAAGAATAGTATTTCAATTCTATCTATCAAAACAAAACAACAACAACAAAAAAAAAAAAAAAAAAAAAAAAAGAGAGAGAGAGAGAGAGAGATTCCTTAAATAATAGGCACTTTTCACAATGCATCAATCTGAAATTCAATAGATATTCAAATATACTAGCACTGTATATTATTTTACACCATTTCACAACTACCATTGATTTTTAGGCACTTGTGTTTCACAGCACATCAGTCCAAAATATAAAAAGTATACTCATTAAATAATAAATGTCATGTTTTCCATTCTGCTGGTTATAAAATGCAGCAACAGCAACAGGTTTGTGGATAATCAGGAGCGTACACCTTTTGCTCATACCCATAGACATGAAAAAGGCCTTCATGATTCTTCCATTTATATTTAACAGCAGCCACTGGAACAACACTTACTTTGTGACGCTAAAAAATTTACAAATACATTAAGTATAAATTTAGCAAGTTTCATTAAAATAGTAAATCTACTATATGCCTTACATTGTAAGTAAGCTATGTAACAGATTTATAGAATCATAAGAGATTATTGCATATAATTCTGATTGTAAAAAAGTTTAAGATTGCATAGAAAGCTATATTAAAGGGAAAATCCAGTATTCAAGTACAAAACGTATTTAAAATAATTATCCACAGAATAAAAAGCAAACAATTATGAGAAATATTTGCTTTTCAATCTATAATAGTTGCAGAATTTGCACATAGCACTAAATAAATCTGTGTCCTTATCTTTCATATCTGATCAATCAGTCTGGCATTCTATATATTATTTATTAATTAGGACACCAAACAGTTTTTGTAAGAAAAAAATCAAAATTTTACTTAAAACATTTAACAAACATGAACAAAGGGAATAAAAATTACATTTATACAAATATAAATGTGATATGCCAAACAAAATGTAATAATTATTTTTCATACTGTATTTACCAACAGATAATCTAAAGTATGACTAGTGAGACTATTGGTAAACTTATGTGACATAATGCATTCAAATATTTGGTTTTACATTATTATTGTAATTAAATATCATTATTACATTAAATATCAAGAAATAGATATTAAATCTACATTCTGCTATTTTCAATTATATGTTTTATTTCTCAGAATTAATGCATTATTATAATCATATAATTACTTCAATTTCAATAACAATTAGCCCAATTAAATCTGAAAAAAATTCCCTCTGTACCAAATCTTGTTATTATAAACTTATCTACCTTTCATTTCTTTAATTATTTTACTTAATTTTTTTTGGTTTGAATTTATTTTTAATTTACTTATTATTGTTAATTTTTATGATATTTTGATTCAATATTTACTTAATTAATACTAATTTAATTTACTAATACTGTTTCCCTTTACATTTTATTCAATTATTTATTTTCAGTGTTTCATCTATTACATTATTTATTTGTTTGTTTGTTCCTGCTTCTAATGGCATTATATAGAGTTCTAGCACTTCTAATTTTACAAACTAACTGTAGCTGTAGATCCTGGTTTTAGTACTACAGCTTTTCCACATATAAGTGATAAATAGATCTTTAGAAAAATAAGAAAATGAAAATTTCTGCACAACTTTATAAAGAAGCAATAAAACATTAAATCAAATCAACTGATAAATTATGCACATGCCTTCATAAAACAAGAGCTGCCTTTAGAGGCGTTGATCAGTCTGCTAAGATAAAATTGGCTAATATTCCATAAGTAGGGTAATTTGGCACCAAACTATTTTGGCCTTCCAAATTTGGCAAATTTTTTCGATGGCAATAAAAGCACTAAGATGTGATTTTTAAACATAAACAAAATAGCAACTTTTAAGTTTTGCAGTAGTGAAATGCCGTTATTTTATGTAAACAGAATAGTAAAATGAGATGATAAAATACTAGATGAGTAAAACAAAGTCTAACAGCTTTGCAAGTAAAAACATAGTCCTATCTAGGCAATTCATCACAAAATAGTAGAATGAACAATTCTTGTAAATAATTATTGAGTCAAGAAATATATACACTTATCAGATCAGAGCACTGCGAAGTGAGTTTTAAACATAAACAGAATAGAAAATTTTTATTTACAGTGGGGAATAATGATTATTTATGTGCAAATAGAATAGTAAATGAAATTGATTAAATGATAAAACAACGTTGTGGAATTCAACACACTAAACAACTTTCATTCAAAACTTTAAATATTCCACATCTTTCGATTGCCACATGCAAGAAACAAAACTAAAAAAAAAATTAACTACATAACATTAAATGAAAACATTCATAACTTCCCATCATTTGAAATCCAACATTCTCCCACCAACAACAGCTTAACCTTCTGTAAAATTTAGATAAATAATATTAAACATATATATATATATATATATAATATCATTATTAATAAACAATAAAAACTTTTAAAACAAACTCAGTATTTCAAAATCAAATTAAAAAAAAAAATCTTCTGGCTACACTAAATTTGCACTCTTACAATTACTGAAATAAAGCTCTAGGTTTGCCACAAGAAAACACAGAGCCAGAAACCACAACCAAATCAAAATCGCGCCAAATAAAAAATTTTCACCAAGTTTGCCGTTGACCCTGATTATGGAATATTAACCATAAAATTACATAAAATTGATTAAAGTACAAAATGTAGCCCAATTTAGCATGGCTATTTTTATGGCTTAGAGAATATTAGAAATTTTTTGCTTTCTACTGCCTCAAAACAGTGTTATTATCAACACTGTAATAAAGGCAGCCATTTTCTATTCATGATGAGGGGGGAAAATATTTAACAGTACGTTTTCTGGCAAATCAGCTTGCATCTTAGAGGATGAAGTTGCATTAACTTTCGAAAAGAATGCTTTTTCAAGACAACAGGAATATGCCTCTAAAATAAGTCAATTCAGAAACTAGTATTTGAATAAAACTATTGTCATCCAAGTGTTGAAATTACTCCTGAAATAAACTGGCAATTTATTCTTGTCAATATTTTTCAATGCTGTGGGGTTCATGAATAATAAATGAAAAATAGCTTTTAATTTTAAATCAACAGAATTTCTTCCAAGAAGGAATATAATCTTATCTTTAAAAGCAGTTCTCAATGAAGCTCTTCGTGGATGTAAGTTCATCCTTCCATCCTCTTTCAGAACAGTTAGATGTCATCCACATTAAATACCCCTTCAGGCAAATAACCATCTTTTATTTTTTCTTTCAGATTTTTTTTGAAATGTTCAGCAATCTTAAAATTGAAACAAGCAGCTTTCTCCAATTATGTATACATTACATAAATCATATTGAATTTTAAATCAATAAAATGTACATTTACTAGTGTTAAATGCTTTAAATGCTTTCACTCACTATATTTATCTTCTAGTCAGTCTTTCAACTTTTAAATCAACAGACAGGCTGCATCCTTTTGTTTCCATGGTTAATAAATTCAGAATAATGCTCTTATTAATATGATCCTCTATTCATACAATCAAAAATTTGCACATTTTATGAAAAGGAGCCTTCACCACCACCAACTCCCTTTTTCTTTTGTTAAAATTGTGCATTTCATGCTCATTGCATTTTTAACTGCCCATTTTATTTTGGTTTTACCTTTTACTTTCACAGAAACCATCAAACATGACATTTTTTTTACAAGCTATTTCTTTGATTTGTTTCTATTTCCATGAACTTTGATAATTTTTATTTTAAAATTAAAATTCAGAGCCTTCATCATGATCTTAACTATGATGAAACATTCATCAATATTACTTTGCTCACTAGCCATTACAGTGAAGTATAAAAAGTGCAGGAGGCCCTGTGCTATTAAATTACTGAGAAAATTCTAACATGCCTGCCAATATCCTTTAGATCCTCCATTTGTTTGTATTAATTGTTGAAATAACTAGCAGAATAAACCAGTGATATAAAATAACTGTATCACATCTTTTTATTGCAGATATTTTATGCATCTAGAGCGTTTCACTACTTACCACAACAAGAAAATAATGAAACACAACATCAAAATTCAACACAATTCATACATGCGACAATGTTTTAACAATTATGCACTGTTATGCATACAAAACTTTAAAGTAGTGTGTATATGCTAGTACTACACTTAAATTTTTTATCTTAACTTTTGGCCACAAAAATGAGTTGCCAAATGTTGAGCCATCTTAAATCAAGGACTGATTATCTGTATACAAAAATATTTCATTTATATAACTAAAATTAATACAAATATTATACATATATGTAATGATTCATGTGTAGATAACTTGATTAGCTCAGAACATTTGTGCTGATGGAATGATAGATTTGTAGGCAAACATGGAGTTCAACACATAATTTATTCTTGGACATTCTTGATATACATTCAATCACACATCATTAATCTATTAAGACATCTATTCTTGATTTTCAAACCCTGTGGGTATTATGAGTACCCCACAATTTTATATATGTGTATCACATCTTTAAATAATAGATGAAACAGTAAAAATGATTAACAATATGCTTGTGGAGCAAGAGTAGAGGAGAGAAAGTGATTGCAGATTCAGCAGCTAAGGTATTTTTAGATTTGGATCCTTTTTTTTCAGCTTCAAATGGTGATTGGATAAGAGTTCTACAGCTTGCCGAATCATTGCAGACGAAAACTATGTTGTAAGTAATATAGTACAGATTCTTTGATGGGGACATAATCAAATAAAATCAGGAATTAAAAGGGCTATTGCCAAATTAAGTTAGTAATTTGTTAGTAATTTTCTTTCATATTTTATATCTTATATATACAGTCAAAAGTCGTTAATCCGGACTCGTCGGGACTTCGGCGATTCCGGATTATCGATTTTTTCGGATTATAAATCATCAGTTTAAATCTCGTAAAATGGCATGCAGAAATTCTAAAATTAAAAATATGAAAGCATAATTTATGAAATAAAGAACAATTATGATCTAAAGGGTATCAAAATTTACAAAAAAAAAAAAAAAAAAAAAAAAAAAAAAAAAAAAAAAAGCTTAATATTTATTGTTTACTTTATTAAACATTTCTTTCAATGTAAGTTGTTTAAGTTGCTTTGTTTTATGTGATAATACTTTCTCTTAATTCTATAAACAGACATAATTTCTGTTCAGTACAAAGTTCCGCTGTTCCAAGTCCCTTGCTGTGCCGAGAATACGACTAACTTGTCAATCAAAGTTTTTTCGTTTTCACTAACCTCTCTGTCACCTTCTTATGTCTTTATCCATTTTTGCAGCAATTCCACTTTTTGGTTGATAGACATCAAAACATACTTTCGTTTTGTAGATCATTTGGGAGCTCCAGCATCGGAAGTTCTATTTGACATAATCGAAAGTTCAAGTCAAGTTTACTTTTATAAAATTGCTCTTACAGTCTGAAAAAAGTAACAAGCCGGATCCAGTTCGAAGATTAAGGAACAATGCAATCATCAACATTAACTGAAATAGATAATTAGATAATTTTAGCTTATACCGTCCGTTATACATTAAACGCGCACGCGAAAAAGTATTCTGCACTTGTGCACATGCATATGCGCAGTCGTAAAGGTCTTATGCTCAAATGTAAACGCCTATGCGCATGTGTCAACGCGGCGCATGTGCAGAAAGTTTTTAGCTTTGAGGTCCGGATTATAGATCATTCCGGATTATGGGTGTCCGAATTAACGACTTTTGACTGTATATATAAATAGATAGATAAAAAATAGAATGTACTATTATATAGAAATAGAATTGTACTATGTATGTATGTATATATATACACTAAACTACTTTATATTACTGTAATTTTAGCACATTTTAAAATCAGTTATGTATAATATATCGTGTTTAGTCCTGTATAATATTTTTATTGTATACATGTAGTATACAATGAAAATACTTTTTGATCACCAGCCATAGAAGATGCATAAAGAAGCTCTCACAGTTAATTTTTACTGAAGCATATTTCCTTGAATAACACAATATAACAACATATATACAAATTTCACATATTCATAGAACTGCAAACGATAATAGAAAAGGAGTGGTGGGCATGATGTTAGCAGCATACAGGCAAGCAACAGAAAAGTATGTAGCTTACAATAGATGCCAGATTAATAATAGTAAAGTTATATTGTTAAAGCCAAATAATAATTATAAATTAATTTTGAGGGTGAATAACATATATCACAAATCTGTGAAGTTTTGAGTCATAATTAATAAATTCATAGGTTACAGATTAACAATCATTTTTATAATTTGGTTTCAGCTGATTAGCAGGTTTCATATAACTTATCCAAAATTTTATTTTCGTTGTACATTACTTAGAATTAAATTAAAAATGAAAACTTAAAAAAATTAAACTAATATATATTTTTTTATTTACCTGTTGCAAGATTTTCTCTGATGTGAAACAAGAAGCATGCTTTTGAATAAGCTGCGCTGAAGCCATGCTAACTGTTGTATCAGGAAAATGAGTCAAAGGCCAGAGCTAAATAATGAAAACAAAAATGATGCAATTCACTAAATAATTAAAAGTTTTGTATCTGAAAATAAATGAAGTTTTTGGAATAGGAGGTAGATTTCATGTAAGAAAAATATCTTTCTAAAATTTAAAAAAAAAAAAAAATGCACAACTTCTGTCAAGAATAGAATAACAGCAAAAAGTACAAATGATTTAAATGTTTTATTGAAAAAAATCCCATTTTTAAGAAGTTTAATTACTCACATTAATAAATCTATCACCTTTTAACAACTCTATCCAACACAAAATGATTCTGCTTTGAAGAAATCTTATTGCAATTTCTTTCGCTGATGTCCAAAATATTAGAAATAATTTGCTATTCCTCTGTAGCTTCTTTTAAATAAAAAAAATTGTATTTTCTAAAACAGTTTCTAACTCTGTGTGGGAAAGTGCTTCCCATGCTTGCAATATGCATAACTTCTAGCAAAGATACAACAAAGATGAAAAAGATACTTAGTTATCTTTTTCAAAATGCTTACATTTTTACAAGATTCAATTTTGTTTATATTTCTTTGAACACTACCTTTTCTGTAATTATATTTGAAAACTTTTATAAAACGTTGTCTATAATGAATGGTATTATTGTTTTTCAGAATGATATCAGAGGGTGTGTAGCACAGTTATCTACCAGGAAAGCTATTTATCAGTTCTTTGCCCCATTTAAAAAAGAAATCAGTAAAAATACTGCTTGTCATCCATAAGTTCTTGTTATTATGGTAAGGTAAATTCTTGACTCCTTTTGAACATTGAGGTTTTCTACTCAATAATCCAATAATTATAAACATCTTTTGAATTATTGCATCCATATTGCATGTTAATAACACAATAACTAATACTCTTCTTAAAACCAGCTGCTGTTTCACACTTAAACATTAATGTATACTTCAGTAATGCTCTGTAAAACAGACTAATTTCATCTATGTTATAAATTTTGCGTAAAAAATTTTGTCTTCTTTTAGAAGCCCAGAAAAAACATCTTTTATCCATTTCTCAGCTGAATGGTGATCTGACACTAGCTTCTGATAATGTAGTTTCTGATAAACAATGTTATTTTTCTCTTTCTATTTTGTGGCCCATTCATCAGTTGGCAAAAAATTTTCTCCTAGTATTTTAATTCTACAGCTTTTGTGATCAAAAGAGTTCTAGAAACTGACATATTTTTTAGTCTCATAACTTGAAACCATTCTAGAATAGTGGTTTCAACATCCCTCGATTTTTCATCCTTTTTGCGTCCGAGCTATTTGCATTTTTTACTAGTTCTTTATCAATTTTATTTATTTGTTTAAGTATATTGAACAATGCTGTTTGAGAAATCCCTATTCCAACAATGATGTTTGGGAAATCCCAAGCTGCTTTTCTTTGACTGCATTTACCAAAATGTATCATAATCTTCAAGCAATTAAGCCTTTCCTTTTAGGCTTTAATTATTTTATTTAGACATTTTCAACATTTTACAAATAAGGCCCACAGTAAAAAAAAATTTTTCTTCCAGAGATTTGTTCAAGTCTCGAATACCTGTTACACAAGCAGGAAGACTGCACTTTTGTCAAGTCGACCTGTCACTTCATGGCCATTTTATTATAGGCATAATCAATACTTGTTCGTTTTTCTTCAGCCTACAATGATCACTCCCTTTTTCCAATCAAAGCGTGATAATGTATGATAGGCAAGAAAGCATTTTCTGATGTTTTCTGAGAGCAACGTGCAAACTTAATGTGAGTATGCAAGTCCATCCTCTATTAGTTGGTGTTCGAGAAAGGAAATTAGCATTCACACTTAAGCACCACATATTATTTAATTCTTGGAAACACTCATTTACTTATAATCTAAGAACTTGTTTTAATTGTCTCTAGAGGACTGCTTTTGTTAATCATAGAATAAAGGTATTCTGTCGCTCTCAGCTGTAGTCCAGACCAAGAGATTTGCAAACAGCGTCTGACAGTAAATAAGAAAGTATACCCAACATCCCAGGGTGTCTTGGTTCTAACTAGACAGGCTAAAATTTCTGCTAAATACATTTTATTGAAGCACTACATAACTGAAAGGTAAATGAATGAAATACAAACTGCTTTTATCAGCCACAAACAGTTTATTGTGAATTTGAATAATGATATTTTTACCAGTTTAAGTTTTATAAGTAGCCAAGAGGAGTTTCATAAATGGCGCTTTTTCTATTGACAAATTTTCTTTATTTGTTTTGGTTCCTGGAAATTTGAACACAGTATATGGCTGTGTTTATTAACCAATGAGTTTAATAAGCAGCGGGGATCGTACTATGCATTTCTCTTTTCTCACGATTTCTAAACTTCTTCTAAGTGAGAGTAGGGAATGATAATTATATTATTTTGGTGCCAAAGATTTAATGGTTTCATTTCCTAAAGCTATTAACACAAAGTCACATTATGATTAGTAAAACAGCAAATTTCAATTAATCTAAAATTTAATTAAAATTATGAAATCAATCTCAGTATATTTACCAAAAACTTCTTTCACTCTCTCTCTATCTTATATAATGTAGGGAATGGCCATGCAACTGTAACAATATGATGTAATCATAATGTGCCATTTAGATGAGAATGCAAACGAGCATGCAGATGTATAATGTTGTGATGATTATTCTTCCTTTTCTTATCATTTTTAATTCACACAAATACATAACAGTTTAGTAATAACTTAATGAGTATTACTGATGTTTATTAGTGATTATTTTTTTGTATTTGGAACTGTAAAAATTCCTGCTCCATATATTAATGTTTCAATTTGATGGACTGTGCTTAGTGTAGCATTCCCATTGTCAACACTAAGGGATTAGCAATGTTCAACCATTTTCAAGAGGATTACAGGGGAGCATTTTATGTTTACAACTTTCACTTTGAATATAATATTCTTTAAAATATAAAACAAATGGCTTCTGAAGAAAATGTAGAAAATTTAAAATGACAGCGAACTGTCAAAAGGATAAATACTGCTAAACTAATTTCAAGAATTGTTGTTGCCTTAACAGATGAAAACATTAATATATGTATATAACATATTAAAGGAACATCTAGTAGTTTTAGTTAAAAAATAAATAAATTAAAATTCTTAGATAGTCAAATTGAACATTTAATCGATGTAAACTTAATTAAGGAGGAAGTAAGCACTAGTACTGATTATCAAGACAAATGCATCTGGCATAGTAACAAACTTAAAAGTTTATTCAAAAGAAAAGAAAATTTTATTCGTTCATTGACATCTGAAAAAATTTTAAGTACTTTGAATGCCTCTTCAATTAAACTTCCTAAGTTAAATAATCAATCTGTAATCATGAGACCCAAAATATTGGAATGAATTTTGGAATTCATTTGAAAGCACTGTTGATCACAATAATTTACTTTCAAAAATTGAAAAATTTGCATGCTTAGAAACATACTTGACTGGAGAAGCATTAAATGTAGTATCCAGTTCTTATTAAAAGATAAAAAGATCTGTTTGAATATTCCACTTCATACATATCACACTATCATTTAAAACCACACTTATTTATCTGGAATATTAAAAATTACTCATAGAAACTATAAACATATATTTGCTGTTATTGACTCATTCACAAAGTTTGTATAGATTTACACAACAAAAACTACTGAATAAGTAAGTAATACCTAAATCGGAAAATAAAAAAATTGTCTTTGGAAATCTTTCATATCTAATTTCCAATAGAGGTTCAGAATTTACTTCTAAAGATTTTCAAGATTACTGATTAAGGAACAATATCTAGCTTATTTAAATTACTACCAGATTGGACAAATTGAGAGAATAAATTCTGTCATAATTTCTGTTCTCTGAAAATTAGCGATTCAGAATCTGACAAAATTTTATGCACATGGTGAAATTCAGCAAGTAATTAATTGAACATAACAATGGAGTATCAGTGAAATCCCATTTGAACTCATGTTTGAAATCAAAATAAAATTTCTAACCATGACAAAATTACAGAGCTGCTACATGTAGAGATAAATTAATTTTGTCAAGATTCGTGATGATCTTTGAAAGAAAGCTGAAAAACAAATTTTGAAAGTGCAGGCGGAAAATCATAAAACATACAATTTACAATGTAAGCCATCCCATGTGTTCCAGCTTCAATGTGGTGGGAATCAAGTGCACACAGTATGGGCTTGGTTTTAAATTCAGACCATACAAGATCATGAAAATCAAGCCAAATGATACATATTTTCCCATATGTACTGATCAATAGCTTTGGACTTTAATGTTATTAAACTTTTCTTTGATAATAATTACTAACTTTTATTTTTTATTTTTCCAGGTGTTGTTATTAGAATATCCTAATTCAATACTATTTTCATTTATCAGTATTGCTTCAATATTTTCTTTTGTTGTTTAATACTATTAATATTTTCAATTTAAGTATACTTTATATGCTAAATTTTGCTCTTTGTTCTTGTCATCCCAGGGCAACTGATGGCAGATGATTATGTAGAATGACCAAATTATGTAGAAAATGACTATGCAACTGTAATTGTATGATGTAATAGTAACACACCATCTAGATTAGTGCACAGATGAGTATGCAAACAGTGACTGATGCAAATGGATAATGTTTCAATGATTCTTCTTTTTTTCTCTTTCTTTAAAATTTTTAATTCATGTAAATAAATCTTAGTAATGATTCAGTGAGTATTAGTGATGTTTTTGTATAATAATGAAATTATAAGTATTAATCAAATAATAAATTTGGTACAAATAACAAATAATAAGAGCAAATGAATTTAACAAAGATGTATGAAAGAGTTTGGTTCTGATAAAAATTATATTGACCAGCATTATAAATTAACTATGTTATTCAGATAAAGCTTAAATAATTTAAATACCTCATTAATGTTAGAATTTAGGTCTAAAAAATCATCAAGCACAAAAAAGTATATATGTAATATGGAATATCAATCAACTGCATTTTTTAAATGATATTTCAATTAAGTCCAACAAATAAGAAAACAAAATATCCAAGTCCATTTTCATAATTATAATTTTGACTAACTTCCCTTGACATTAATTAAAAATCTAAACTGTAAATTAATTTTCTGCATCTATTATTTCTTGGATAAAGAGAGACAATTTTCCTAATGTATATTCGCCTCCATTTTTAGCTTTAGCATTAACTTTTATAGACTTTAGTTCACGTTTCAGGTAGAACATGTCTTTCATAGTATATTATGCTCTTTTTAATTTTTTAATTTTAATTCTTTTTCAAAATTCTCCATTAAATTTTGAATAAATATTTACAATTAATGTTTATGTACATATAACATCAAAGTAGCAAATGATAACTTACAACAGCATCTTGTTCTTCACAAACTACTTCACCTGTAACACTTCGTATTCTATCATCTCTTAATGCTGCCACTTGTTCAACAACATGATCATCCATATGATCTGTCCTGAATGTAAAAATCAAAATTTCAAAAATGAATAAAAAATACTGTTTTTCAATTGGTGGATCTATATCACATGTTATTCACTTTTGATTCTGTGGAAAAACAGTAATTACTTGTATACATACTGAAATTTTTAAAACTAAAAATCTAAAAAAAGTACATCAAATTTCCTTTCCTAATCTAAATTTTCAGTTAATATTATAGTCTTATTAAGGATGTTATTTACCATGTTATAGTCAGGCGTATAAAACATTTGATCTGGCCAGTGCCACAGCAACCCTTACAGACAGCTAATCCATCACCATTGCACTTCCAGCACCTATTTATTTTAATCACATATTAGCACACGTTATCACATGTTGTTCAGTATTAAAATTTGTGAATGATACAGTTATATTTTCAATATTTAATCTGTAAATAAAAATGGCCAATTTACAAGAAATTTTATATTTTCTTCAAAACTAGAAATGATGTATCTATAGTTTTTAAGATTCTTAATTTCCTTTAGTCAAATCTTTGTTTTCATAGTTACAAAATATGCGGCAAATATATTTATTTTATTATAAAACACAAAAACTCAGAATATTTTTAAGCAAAATTTAATTTATATTTTTATTTTCTATAGCCTTTGTTCCCAATAAATAATTTTCGTAGCAGCAAAAATTTAATAATTTTCACAAATTAAATTTTCAATACATGCCTCTTAATTATCACTATCTAAATAAAATATATTTTATCCTTTTAAAGCATTCTTTCCTTTATGTTGCAGATTGTTATTTAAAATTGTGTATTTTTATTTGGAAATCGAAAAGATATTACTCTTGACTCAATTACTTAAAGATAGACAGACATATGCACATGCAGGCAAGTAAGCAGACCAGATGGACAGATAGATTATTTCACTTATCACTAAAAAAAGTAAGCGTTTAAATATAGAAGAAAAACACTTCCATATTAAAATCTTTTAAATTCTGCATAAAAAGAAATATTTCCATTCCTAAATCTGCTAAAAACTTTTTATTGAGATATTTCATTGACATTTAATTCTTATATTCATATTTGTTTGTGTGTTTGTATTGTAATTTCTAGTGCAAAATTTAACTAAGTTACCTGCACCAAACCAATGATTGAAGTGAAACAGTTATAAGTTGATAATTTCCAGGAATTCAGTAATCTAAGAAGTAACTGGGAATCAAGAACAGAATGGTAGAACAATTAAGAAGGCGATGTACAAAAGAGAAATTAAGCAAAAATGAAGCAATCTCTACTGCCTTTACCATAAAATATGTCCCAGATCAGAAAAATAAGACTGAAACATTCCCAGAACTGTGAAAACCAAATACTATCAATAGCAGGGTAAAACCATGAAAGATAAGAGCAACTAAGGAAATGCACAGATTAAAATGTATGTTTAAATACTGCATGTGCGCAGCTACAACACAGTTTAGGCTTGATAAAATTGAGAGGAAAAAAAAAAAAAAAAAGGTTAAATTATAGTAAAAGCAAGTATCTTTCAAAAATTAAAACAATTTGTTATGAGGTTGTCTTATTAAGTTTTCTAAATCCAGATTGAAACAATTACAATGCTTTAGGCAAAAATATTTAAAAGATTGACATTCCAGTAAAATATGATACACTGTCAGAATTCCATTGCAATCTAAACAAAGTGGATTTCTCTCACCTTTCAGAAGATGTTCATGGGTCAGCTGATAGTGACCCATTCTTAAACAAGTTAAGAGTACTTCCCTTCTATTTAGTATAGGCGGTCAGCACTCTAAAGTAGGTTTAACATTTATCATATTATTGTTTGCTTGATTATCCCAAATGCATATGCTTTTTATTAAGAATTTTTTGTTATATCAATGCCTTGATATTTGTGAGTAGGACCCAAGGGTTGGTCACCGCAGTAGCAGTCTTAGCTGTAATATCTGCTAGTACATTCTCCTTTTATGCTATCAGGGCCAGGAATCCAAGAATAGAGAATCTGATATCCCCAACATTTAGGATCTGACTGAGTTTCAGAATTACTGCACTAGTGGGATATGAGCTATAAGTAGGATTTTCAGTGACATTAATGCACTCAGAGGATCTGTGCATATTATGAAATTCCTTCAACATTCTTCTGAGAGGAAAATTAAAGACTAATAAATTGCAATAAGTTCAGAAGTGAAAACCAAGCAAATTGGGTACAATCAAAACCCAACAATTATTTTTTCAACTACAAAAGCTTCCCCAACATGATCTTGGGATTTGAATCCATTTGTATAGAAAGGCTTTAATTTCTATATTTTTCTATATTTATGTCTAAGCTCTGCAAAGTTCAGTCTGTAAATGATATTATTAGTGTTAGATTTATCCAAATACTGGAACATACCATGAAGCTGAATTTTTCAGTTCTCCCATGGTAGAATTTCAAAAGGATTCTAAAGTTGTATATTAATACTAGACATATTGTACTGCTCTACCAAAGTGCCTGTTCTTAGACCAAATGATGGTATACATGACAAACATGCATGATACAAACGAGATCATGAACCATTGAGTAGATGTGAATGAACAGGATCCTTGATTTGTGGTATGATTTTAACATAAAGCTCGAGACAAAGTTATTCATGTCTTAAATGTAGGGAAGTTTCAAAGAATTCAACATACAAGCTTTATTCTGAGATGATCTAAAAAGCTCTGGTGCAGATCTGAAGTGTTTGATGATGTATAGGATCAAGTTTAGCCAGCACAAAAGGCCTCACCAACCTGTAAATAATTGATACGCAATCAAGCTTTGAGCTGGTAAGGATTATGTAAATAAGAAGCATTGAGCTGCATTGAAGTCTCCATGAGGTATTTTGACAAGACTCTGAATATTCATAATTTGTAAACATTTCTTTTTTTTTTAGAGGGATGATAGGGAAAAGTAAAGTAAGCTTATGGTCGAGCAGCACGCCTAGGAATTTTATCTCTTTTTCTACAGGAATCATTACATCTTGCAAATAAAGTTAGCGATCAGGATGAGAAAACTTGTGACAAAAATACACACATAGTCTTTTGGTTAGAGAACCTGAATCTATTGTCCTGTGACCATTTAACTATTCTATTCAAAAATGTCTGCAATTGTTTCCTAACGTATTTCAGGTGTGCACCCTGACAACTAACCTGTAGGCGATCAACATAAAGCATTCTGTGGAGTGCTGGAGGAAGTTGTTTTAAAATAGAGTTAATTTTTAAGCTAAACGAAGTGACAGTACACTGCCTTGCAGAACACCTTCGTCTAGACTAAACCCATCAGAGAATACAGAGCCAATCTTCACATGAAACTTTTAAAACTGCAAGAAATGCTTGACAAAAACTGGCAGATTTTTTTTGTAAGCCCCTACTGTAGAGCTCCCGAAGGATGCCCTACCTCCATGTTGTGTCACACGCTTTTTCTCTACACAACAATGTAGAACTACTCGATTTCTTTTTATAAGCATGTTATGGATACTACTTCCTAAGAACAGAATAGTATTAACACTTGCTCATCCTTTTCTATATCGTCTATGATAAAGGAAGATATAATTATTCATCTCTTAATAGCAGAACAGACAAAAATTTACATCTTTTCAAGCAGTTTACAAAGGCAGCAAGTTAAAGTAATGGGATAGTAATGAAAGAGATTCGTTGGGTCCTTTCCTGATTTGGCTATTGAGATAACAAAAGCTTCCATATTTTATTGGAAAAAAAAAGAGGAGGGCTACCAATCACTTACCGTTGAGGTGTTTTAACATAGGATAACTAATGCTATGATCTCCTTATCTGCAACAAAGATCTTTTCACCTCCAGCATTGTTACTTCTTGATTATAAAGTTCAGAAGTGACAGAGTTGAAATCAATAGCCTGTTTTTCAGAAAGCAGCTTGGCAGAAAGAAATGCAGGATGATAGTTACCGTTATTTGATAGAGTTAAAAATGTCTCTCTGCTGGTATTAACAATTCCTTCCCTGCTGCTGATTATTTCACCACTAATTTTAAAATAGACAATGTAGTCTTTGTATATAATGCACTCAGAGGATATCATACCCATGAAGAAGAATTTATTGATAATGTATGCAAGATCCATAATTTCCTCTGACTCCTGTAACACACATGGCATTTGTTTTAGCTCTTTTAAAGACGATGAGATTGGATTCAGTGTTATATCCTTGAAAAATGCTCTTAGCTTTCCTGTTTTCTGATGGCATCCTGAGAATTTTGCTGACAATTTTGGAATAGATAATTCTGCTTGAGTGATTTTATTGGTAAGAATCTTCACAACATGATCAATCTGCAGGTCCTTCACTATTTTCTTCAAGGAAATAAACATGATGAAAAAAGAAATCCCAATCTTCTTTATCCAACGAAAACCGTGGTGTTCTGGAGACAGAAGGTTTTCATTTTTTTATAAAGTTTACTATGATTGGGAAATGCTTGCCATTAAATGGATAATTCATAACACTAAAGGAGCAGATGATGAAATTATGTGTTTTTTGCATTGTTGAAGATACAGAGACAGTAGTCCTGGAGTAGCTGTTTGATTTGTTTTGTCCATGGATTTGTATCTCTATTACTGCAAAGGGGACTGTGTCCATTAAAATCACCAATGAGAAATCAAGGATCAAGGAAGTGCAATTTACGGAGTTCATAGGCAATTATGCCTTTACGTCCACATCTTCAAAGGAAATTACATCATCAAAAAGAGGGGATTGTCAAATAGGGTAAAAATTTTGAGAAGCCGAATGACTTGGAATAAGTGCCTTCACACTGAGTCAAAAAAAGGCAAAAAACTCAGAAGGTCTTAATTTTGTGCCGAAAAAGGGCCAGAATAATTTAGATAGGGGCAGCCATAATAAAATTTTGACTAGAAAAATAAAAGGTGAAGTTTGCTTGAACCTTGATAATCATGTTTTGCATACGTCAGAGGCGAAGAATACGCAGGGGAATTTCCGATGCGCGTTCTTCAGGGGTGGGTGAGAGGGGGGAACCTGTTTACAGGTCGAAAAAGTAGTTCTGCCAGTGATCAGCTGGGAGGGAGAAGTTTTGTTTTTGACAGCTATTCAATGCGGTATTTAAAGCCTAAAATGATGTTGTTAAATGCCTGAGAAAGTTCCTTTTTTTAAAGGAAGAAAAGAGCAGTATTTAAAAATCTTTTTCTGTTTAAGTCAATTCAAAGTTAGAAAATATTTTAATTCAGTCCTTTTAGACTGTGATGTTTCTTCTTAAAGAAGCATTAAAGGGGTTCCTCAAGTTAATGCTGTGTGCATTAAAGAACTTTAGAGGCTGGGGGGGTTAAGGAACGACCAATGAGAAATAAACAAATGTTTGTAACTAGCCAATCAAATCGACCAAATCTCTCTGATAAATACTCTCATTGGGAAATACAGACACTTCAAACAAAAATCGGTGCCCAGACATTCACCCGTAAAGCATGAGATGTGTAACCATAGGAAGGGCACTTGAATGACAGCTAATGGAGGTAAAGCAAGCCTACACCACCACTTGCACGTCCGTTGAAAGTGCTCTCTTTTCTTACCCTAGAGTACCTACGTAGCTTTGCTGGATTATCAGGTTTAAGGAATGCCTCTTGTACTGCAAAACAAACAGATTAATAATTATTAATAAACTTTCTAATACTGCCAAGACCCTAGTGGAGGCTATGACAGTTCCACAATATGAGAGTGGCCATTATGGATATTTATTATTACAATGACGTTTCTTTGTATCTTGTAGTAAAACATGTTTTGGAAGAACTGTGCCTCCCTCTATATCCATCTTTGATTAAAAAATCACAGAAAATACCTTCAACAGAGCTTTGGCTTCTGTTTTGGGCACTTAAAAATTTTCTTTTATGAGTTGTGCATTTTTAGTACTTTTATTTTTGAGCTTCCCATTGCCTGTCTGGGAGGAGAAGATTTTAAAAATTTTTTGCTACTAGTAATTTTTTTGGTTCAGGTGGTTTTTTTTTTTTTTTTTTTTTTTCTTTTTCTTTTTTTTTTTTTTCTTTTTCTGTTTGATATAAGATGTTTGGGTACTTACAGAGCAATACAATTCGGTGGCTTCAGCACAAGAAATGTCTGGCCTTGGTTGACTGCTGCTAAATATTTTTTTTAACTTCAGAAGAGGAGATTTTTTTATAACTTTAATGTCCTGTATTTCAATCTCTTCTTTCCATTTAGGGCAGGTTTATGAGCATGATGGATGGTCAGCATGGCAATTTACACGATTTGGATTAACAATGAAATCTGGTTTTTACGACTAGTCACAGAACAATGAGGACGAGCAAGGTTGGCACGGCATGCAGCCTTTGTATCCCTGAATTGCTAATACTGAATACAATATTGTATTCAATATCATCAGCAACAGTGGGTTTGACACATAAGGTCCAATGGGAGAGTTCAGGTACCCCACCTGAATGGGCTAAGGTAGCTCTGGAGATGAGAACATCAAGAAAATATGCTTTAATTAACAAGGTTACCAATTCTAAGCCCCACACGTTTACTCAGCCAGTTCTTTTAAAAGTCGTTCCTCAGAGACTGATATCAGGCCTATTCCTGGAATGACATTTCTGGACGTGTTCAAAGACTTATGCAGTGATACATTAGTAGAATGCTCGCCCATACTCGTCATTTCTAGGAGCGAAGGGCTCTGTGCATCAGATGTCGTCTCAATGAACAATAACCCTGAATAGAGCTTTTTTATGCTTTTTGGCAAGCCAGCTGAGGTTACAATATACTCTGGATGAGAAATGGCGACAGAGTTTTTAGTTGACCAGTTATGACCAATGACATCTGATGCTTTCACTAACAATGGCAGGAGTGCTATTCTCTTAACAGTTCCAGAATTTTTCATTTACAAGTGAATGGGAGAAGAATTTATTGTTGTAGTTGAAAAATTAAAGCTGTCATCTTATAAATACAAGAGATTCAGACCTGACCACCCCAACCATCATGGAGCCCAAAGAGTGAACACAGGTCCCTGTGTTAGGGCTACCGAAATTTATATGCAAACTGAAGCTCCAGGATTAGCTTTTCTGAAAGTAGGAACTCTTGAAACTTATCCCCAAGTCACTGACATGAAGGATTAGTGACCAGCTAATTGATACTAGCAGGGGTAACTAAGTGCCTCCTCAAGCAGGAGCCAAAGCAGTATGTTGAGTACACACTCAACTATCAGAATCCTACTTTCAGCCATGCAGGTTTCCATGCATGGCAAACGCATGGGCAGTTTTCTTACAATGGCAAGACAGAAATAAAAGAGTTGTAACTGTATAGTGAGCCTCAACCTCCATAAGAGAAAACCACCGGGCAGAAAGAGAGGGAGAAGTGAAAGCTAATGGGAAAGGAAAAGAGGAAAGGTCATTGGTTCTCCAGAAATGTGACACCTAATTGCCAAGAAGGTAACTCCCCAAAGGGTCTTTCCCTACTATACTTTAGCTGGGCATACTAAGATGGTCTTCACAGCTAGGACAACCATTCCAAGAGTTACACACTTGAAGTACTTCACCCATTTCTTCCACAGGTCTCCTACTCACCACAGTGAGACAGCATAGATGAACTTGGGAGAAATATTGATATTTAATTAACATATAGTTCTGAAATTGTTACTAATGATTTAAAGGCATGAACACTGAACTTGATTCTTCTCTACTTATAATTTATAAAACAATTGTGAAAGAAATTTTGCACAATATATACAGAGTCGGATTTAGACTTCATAAGGCCCTAAGCTATTTTAGATATAGGGCCCTTTATAAGTCTGTTATACTATATTTTAATATTTGGGGTCCTCCCAAGAAAGTGGGGGCCATAAGCTACAGCTTGTGTAGCTTATATTATACATAAATCCTGCACTGAATATTTACCTCCTACGTCCTGTGCCATGACACTGCAAGCAACGACCATTTTCACTCTCTAAAGCAGAAGGTTTATGTCCATCACCATGACAAGAAAAGCAATACTCCTATCAGATAAGAATCAGAAATAATATAATACTAAGAAGAATACAGTATTTTTAATAAATCTACACTGCACCAAAATTATCAAAAAATATTTAAGTGGAAAAAATTAGCATTTAACTTAATTTATCAACAGAAGCAAGTTAAATATCAGGAAACAGCTTAAATTTTTTTATTCTATTTATTAGCCATATACATTTTACATTTGATACACATGCAAATTAAGTATTTATTAGGGCTTATCTATTAAATATATACAAAAATATATGCGATGTAATTTTATATTATGTATTACTATGCTTTTAATATAAAAATATTGCATCATTTCCATCACAGGGTTATAGGTGGGAAATAATTTCTTACAGAAAAATTCCTGCTTCAGTGTTACTTATCGACCTCCATTAAATTAAATGTATCTCTAATGTCTTGGAACATTGTTCTTTTTTTCAACTGTCAATAAAAAATTTGATTTCATTCTTTGTTTACTGAAATAGCTAAATTAAGAGATATTTTTCTTATGTTTAGAAAACTTGTACCATATAAAAAAAATTAACTGATAACAAAATATGTTTTCTTAGTGGAATGCATCAAGATGGTACAAGTATCTTTCTATAAAAAACTGGCCTGGATATCAAAATTCTACCACATGTATGGAAAAAAAAACCAAGATGATGCTGCAAAAACATAATACAATATAAAATATAATACACATTATGAATGTATATAATATCAATACAAAGAGTCATTTTTACCCAGCCACTTCCTGAACAAGTGCTACATCTTTTGCGACCCACACCACCACATACATGACAGGTCTTTATAGATGCAGTATGGGGAACTTCAAGCTGTGTAACATGATTTTTGAAGTATGAAGGAGGAGTTGCTGGAATATCCCATGGAAACGGAACCTGATCTGTATTCTTGTCATCAATTGTACCTCCTGTTGTATGAATTGAAAATACAGTTTTTGAAAATGTTATGGTGACTAAAATTAACATAATGATGCATTTAAAAAACATTCTATTAAACTAAAAGATGTAATAGGTTTTGTTATTGATACAGTATTTTTCAGTTAACAAGGCATAAGTCAGAGACATGAACCTGAAGTACCAAATTTAATAATCTACTGATATCATCTCATAAATAGCTATAGAGAGGTATACCAAAAGACTGCATCAAAAAAATCATGCAATGAAGTTCTACGTTACTATTACCAGAGACCCGAAACAGCATTGGAACAAAAGTTTGCGATGTAAGATTCAAGGATTACTTTCCTGACTGCTATTTGATTACTTCAGGTGTCAAAAGCTCACAATAGTAGAACTTTTTCAATTACAACTAGGAACAGTTGTCAATAAGAATAATTATAAGCATTCTTAATTGTGAATCTCCGTTTTTGTTTTCATTTTTTTAATATTTATTTGAATTTAACAAAACAGCCTCTCTTTTCATGAAGCTGTACAAATCATTAAAGTTGCCATTCCTATCTGTAGTTATAAACATAAAGTAGTGTCCTGATAACTGAAAAATACCTTTGATATTTTGGAGTTGTTTTAAAATATGTATAACATTAAATAACAAACACATTCAAATGCTAATACCTGTATAAGGCTCAAAAGCCCAACATGTTGTCCTTTTCTCAGTAAAAGTTTCTAAAGTATACTAGAATAAATTAAAGAAAATATGATTTAGATAATAGCAATCTCATTTACAGCACTGTTTTATTAATTTAATCAGTAATACAGTACAGTAAGAGCCCACTTAATGCTACTCCTCTTAATGCTATTTCAGTATTATACAGTAGTATTTAGATTCCCTGAAATAGCACTCAGTATCAGTATTAGCTTGTTATTAGCAGTGTTAGCTTGTGATTAGTAGTGTTAGCTTTTCCGGACAATCAGAAAACTTATGACAACATTATGACAATGACTAGGCAAGGATGTTGATGCAAATGGATTCATGGCTGATATCAATGAAATTGTCAAGCTAGATAATAAAACAGGGTTAAGCAATAAATGCACAGAATACTCAAGAATTATTGCAAGTTACAAATGGTGAAAGTCTTTCCGATGATGACCTTAAAGAATTAGTAGGACAAGCAGATGAAGAAAAGATGACGGAATTAGTATTTCTGAAGATGAGAAGCAAAAGAAACTTTCAACAGATTTTTTTAAAAAAGGTTTAGCTATTATAATTGAAATTATGGGTAAAGTTATACAAAATGATTTAAATTTTTATAGATATTTAAAGGCAAGACAAAGTTTTATTTATGCAATGGCTTGCTATTCACAACTTCTTGCTAAACGAAACAGGGAAAGGCAAAGGATGTTAGAATTCACGTAAAAAAAAAAAGTAATGTCAAAGGAGAAAGAACTTTCCTTTTCACACACATAACTTTTTTACTAAAACTTTTTTTTTAAATGTTCATGAATATTTTATGAATAAAAATCAATATTAGCAATAAATAAATTTATAATTAATGTAACAAAAAGTACTTAACAATAAATGTTACCACATAAAAAAATAAGTTTTCTTATTTTCTGTTCTGTTTCACTTATTCCTATTATTTATATGTTAAGATGATCTCATTTAATGCTATTTCGTTTAGCGCTGGAATTTACTGGAACATATCCCCTTATCAAGTGGGGTCTTACAGTACTTAACATTTTGTGAAAAGGAAAAATTAACTACAAATGTTACTAATATGCCAAAGTTTAATTTTCATAATATGTTTGATTATTTCTTAAAGTTTAACAATAAAATATTCTTGTATTTGAAAAATAAAATAAATATATAGTCTTCTGTAATACGAATTCAAAATCTGTGTGTTGAAAAATATTTTAAAATGTTTCTAAGGATTAAGAAACAATATTAAAAGATAAGATATTATAGGAGCATATTAAAAAATAGCAATGCATATTATAAATTTCCATTTAAAAATCGAAAAGCATACACTATTTACTTTATTATATTATGTATAAAACACCTATATTTTAATTTTCAGCATACAATGCAATGTTAAAAAAACTTTATTTCTTATCAAATTATGCATAAAATATTTCATGACAAACATTCTTAATATTTAGATTACTCTGTAATAATATGAAGTTTTCGTTTTCTCCTTTTGGTTTTCCTTTCTGTTCTAAAAAAAAAAAAAAAAAAAAAAAAAAAAAAAAAAAAAAAACAATGCTCTACATAAGTGCTCAGCTCCCTTTTTAAGAGGACTCAATAATTTGAAAAGTATTCATTTAACAGCAATACTAGAATACGATATCAGCTGCTAAATTTGATTATTAATATAGGATTAAAAAAATTGCATAGCTAAACATTTATTGAATGGTTTGATACAGAATCAAATTTCTAATTTAAGGAGTGAACCAAACAAGGTATGCTTTCAAACTATAGCAATTTTGATATGTGCTTAATTTTAGTAAAACTAATGAATTTTGATATATGCTTAATTTTAGTAAAACTAATGAAACTTAAATTTTTATACAGGTTTTATAGAAGAAAAAGTGTCAATAAGAAAACAATTTCCCCCAGCCTAATAAATTCAAAGATCTAATCTTCATGTGCTCAAAACTATGGAGGATAAACTAAAATTTTGGAAGACCATGTACAAGTATTTCAAAAGATGATTATGTAGTTTAAGTTTTCAAATGTGAATCTCTAGATGATTCCTTTAACATTTAGAAGACATTAATTGAAAAGCACCAATTTTCATAGAAATGCTAAAATTATAATTTTTTATTTAAAATTGTATTTTAAACAGTTCTAAAGGACCATTCCAACTAGGGTTTATCTGAGCTAATGAACACAACTGACATGGTCGACTCATCTCCAAAACCAATTTTTTCCCCATAGGGCAGTAAGTTGAAAAATCTGAGCTGCAGGCACAGTGGAGCTAGTGGACACATGGAACTGACTCCGTTAGCTCAGGCAAACCCCAGTGGGAACCTTTAAATTGCCTTCCGTGTAAAAATTATTTAAGTCACAGAACTCTGACAAATGCTTTTATGGTTAATTTTGCATATTATAGATCTAAGCCCCTAGACAACGATTTTTAGTAAGATAAAGAATGGTCTACACTACATTCCTATAAAGCACTACTTTATAGGATTAACATTCAGCACCAACAAAAATTAGCTGGTATCTAACGAAGAAAATTAGCTGTTATTTAGCATGAATATTTTCTATTGATGCTAAATATCAGCTCATAAAAATGTTAGTAAATGCAAACTTACATGAAATGCTATGGAATGCTTTATTTCAGTGACAGCCATATCTCTGACAGCATTTTTACCATAACAGCAATGAGATGAAACTTCCTTCAGAAGAGCATCTCTAACTTCCTTCTCGGTTAACTGTGGGATACTGAAAAACAGATACATGCATGTTAAAACAAATTTTATAATATAAATGTATTAAAACTTTAAAAAAATTTAAAATGGAATGTATTTTTTAATACGAATAGAGAATGAAATCCGTTCTTCATACCCTGTGAATCGGTGATATGACACCTAATTCTTAAGAAGACATAAAACTTTTTCGCTGCATTTTTTCGACAGAATTTAAGCAAGTTAATCCTTTAATATTGTTGTTAATCAGAAGATACATCATGTTTACATAAACTTGTGTTAGCTTCACAGTAAATTAACGTATTTGTATATTATAATACTGTAAAGACCGAGGACCAAGGCTTTTCTTGATGTTTTATATTTATGCAAATAACAGCTACAAATGAGTGCCAGTTGAATACTTTTTATTAATCTAAAATTTTAATCTTTTTTATAAACACTTGCCTATTTGACATTGGCCACTCAAAGACCATTTTATTGTGGATGCACCTAATAGGCGGCCACTGTTGCCTTCAGTGAAGGGACAGGCAATTACAACTAAGCCCTCTCCAAAATTTGAACCAGGGCCTTTAGATAACGCAGTTAGCCGCCCTAACCCCTATACCGTCTGGGCCGAAGAATATGTATTGCATTACACATAGATGTTCTTTGTCTGGGCGGCTGCCAGTTAAACATTATATTCAAGAGAAATATTTAATATATATATATATATATATATATTAGAAATATTTAATATATATATATGTGTGTGTGTGTGTGCATGAAAGGTTAAAATATCCCTTATTTTTCTAGAATAATCCTTATTTGTTTTAAATCTAGTAAACTGTAAAACGGAAAACAATAATTTTCAATTTCATCTCTTAAATAAAACCAAACAGAAATTTGTCCTGTATCTTCGCTTCCAGAAACTTGATAGATTAAAGTTCTATTTCGAGATAATTTGCTGTTCTTTTTTGCATTTGGATGCAATAGGCAATCATCTAAAGAAGTCTACTAATAATTACTACTCCAAGCATAATTTTTTCCTTTCATTCTTTGGCGAAATTATTATCCTTCATTAACTCCTCGTTAAGTTAGGTTACTTATAATAATAAAAAGCAGTTGAAGACATTTGTAATATGAAATGGTTTTTTTGAATAGAAACTGGCTAGCATTCACATTGCATGTGGGAGAAAATCATCAAAACACCATTCAGTCACTTGAAATAAAACATGGAATAAACTTTTTATGTTTGGTTTTACAAATGAATGCAACAACTTCCAAACAGAGCATATGGAATTTTCCATAAAAAGCAACAATTAATACAAACGTATTAAAAACATTAAAAAAAATTGTTCAGTTTTTTTTTGGGGGGGAAGGGGTTAGATTATTCGAATACAGCAAAACACACAACAGCTGTCTGCGGGAAATTGCCTTGTATTCACGTTACATATGGGGAAAACCAATCATGCAGCCTACCTATTTGCCTAGGACTGAACCCAGGCAACACCTTCTAGAATAGTTATACTTTCGAGAAGGTGATGACTTAGGTCGAACTCCTAGTATTCAGCAGTCTTAAACACTCAACCACTGAAGTGGATCCAGTTTTTTTCGGTAATTAACGAGTTTGTAATAATGTCTTTTCAAGAAAGAGGAAGCAATTATATTCAAGAGGTATGCTATTTGACATATTTAATACGGAAATGCGAGATTGCAATTTTGGATTATGGCTACATCTAAAGGATATTTGTTGCACACATTTGCACATGCCACAGCTTTCTTTCGAAAGTAAAATGCTTGGATGATAAAAAAATTACAGAACTTTTGTTCCGATTCTTAAAACTTAAAATTGTATTGTTATCCTAACATTTATTTATCTGTTCTTTCTATTGTCTTACCGACCTTTCTCTTTCGTGGAATGTGATCAAAGTTTGATTTTGAGAAGTATGGTTTTATAAATTACGACAACGATTGATAAGATTACTCTCTATTTGACACTAAAAATTTCACAATTGCTACAGACACATTCCGAGCTTCAAGTATTTGCTGTAGTCAAGTGGCTTTCTCTTGAAAAGGCTTAAATCTTCTATCTACTTAAAAAGTCCTAGTTTAGTCAGTGTGAAAATTATAGCTGAAAGCGAAATTTCACAAGGAGGTAGATAAATACTGAAAATACTTCTACAAATATGAAGGTCCGCACCATAATTACCTTAATGCAGCACAAGAGAGAAAGATGGACTCCCATTTCGACGCGATTGAAGAAATACCGTATCTTATCACGTATTCCCCCCTTTTTTTAAACTAATATCGCCTTAAAATCGAGAAGGGAAAATTATGCGAATAATTTAATTTCCGAAGAACGTGGTTACAGTAAGAAAGTAACAAATGAAAAGTAGTCATGCAAAAACTACTAATAACTATCACAATATTATTTCTTTAAAAGAAACCTAAATTCTAATAAGATTACATAGGGATATTAATATTATTAACATTAAAATAAACTGTAACTCGAGCGACGTGTCCGGCTCAACTTATCTTGTAAAGCGCCACATGAATGAGCCATGACTGCAATTCCCAAGAGGGACATCGGAGGAAGGAAAAAGAACAGGGGGATAAAAGACACGGATTTCCAAACATCGAACACATCAGCAATAGATAAGGCTACAGTGAGATGGAGCGGGAATAAAAGAAGTAAAGTAAAATCACATTGGAAAGTTTCTTAAATGCGAGAACGTTTATAAAGTATTTCTCCCACGTTCTTGGCATGCCTTCGTGGTGTGGAGGTCTGCACGCTGGGCGCGTATTCCAGAGGTCCGCGGTTCGATTCCCGGCGAAGACGTTGTTGAATTTTCATCTTGCCTGCTTCCAAAAATGCCTAATATCTCTACACATTTATCATGCCCGGTTAGCTCAATAAAGAATTTGCACAAATATGTTTCAAATAATTAATGCAACAGAAAATAATATGGATAAAATGCTAATATAAAAATGCAAATACAAATTGAATCCGCAATAAAAATAATCAAGGGAATACAATTTACCAATAAACTAGACCTCAAAAGGAAAAACTACATACAATAAAGGATGGAGAAAATTATGTGAATGTTTAAAAAAATTTCAGAATCTAGTGTTAAAATAAAAAGGGAAAAATACACAAAGAAATATGATTGATGATAATGTCACCGAGAAACTGAATAACTCTTAAATACACTAACAATAAGGTATTTTTTAAAATGACAGCAAGATCATTTTAGAAATGAAAAACAGGAAGATCAAAATTATTATTATAAAAAAAAAAAAAAAAAAAAAAAAAAAAAAAAAAAAAGCTTATAAATATACCAAAAAAAAAATTAATTAAAAGGGAGGGGGAGAGTCTGGTGACTTTAGATTACTGTCTAACACCTCAAAGATAGTAAAAACGTTTTAAAATATTTTAAAAAAATTATTTGCAATTGGTATAAAAAGTTACATTATGTATACTATATTGCAATGACACCTAAAGTCAAACAGCTGAAAAAGATACCAAATGAAAAGTTATATTTTAGATTCTTCACACAAGATAATGCGGTTCTTATAGGCAAAAAATGAAGCACTGAAGGTTTACATCGAAATTAGCCTCCCTAAAACAATTAACTCGAAAGTTATCTTACACAGAGCTAAATAATATCACAAAAGAAGCACTGCAGAGTATAAGATAAACTTATAATGCAAATACAAGAAATGTGAGAAAGATATAAAATTTTCAATGAAGTGAACATTTCGAATTTTCATGAGTATCTTCAATAGATACAGATTAAAATTAATATTTGAAATAATAATATAAAAGATCCAGAGGTAAATTTATAGCGAGAAAAGAAACTATAGAGATGATTTACTGTCTATCATATTTCAAGTATAGACACAAAAATAGGGAGAGGGAGTGCTACAAAGATTAAACTCTTAAAATATGAAATAAGATATTTGAAGAAAGATTGTCCGTATGAGGGATTTTGCTATAACCATCAGATCAATGAAAAATTAAAGTTTGCATTTATCAACAGACGGTTATTACTAATCAGACTCACCTGATTGTTATTATTTAACAGAACTAGAACTATTCAAAAGAAAATAAATTATGCTAATTAATTTAATACAGAAAAAAAAAAAAGGATGAACTATGCAAACAGTAATTAAAGGATCTATCTAAAAAATATCTCAGTTAATTCCAAGTATACAAGGATTCTAATATATATATACTATATTCATATCCAAGTTTGTGAACTAACTCATTGATTTTATGCTCAATACCATTAAAAGCCACCATTAAAATTATTTCCATTAAAGTTATTGCCATTAGAATTATTGAATCCTAATAGATGATCTCAATTCTGGCATCAAGAATAATGACGACGAGGCAAGTAGTTGCAGCAAACTTACACGAACAACCTCGTCGAAGAACTTCGTTTACAGATCCCAGGGGAATGCATGCAATAAAGCTTTATCACATCAAATAAGACACAGTATGCAACATTTGACCTCAACATCCAGTCACTCAAACTTTGACAGTATTAGAGATATCTTGTAGACGGACCTCATGTTAATGAGAAAAAGCAAGGTGATCGGTTGGAAATAGTTAAGTCCCAAACTGCTAGTCATTGATCACAAAGCAAAAACAAATAAGATCAGAAATCTAACTAGAAATACAAGCATCGAACTCGGATGATTAGAACTAGTAAGGTAAAGTGGGAATATAAATAGTTACAATATAATCTGAAGATGGGAATTAAGGATTTTGAACAGCCGAAAATGTGTTGAAGGCTACAGAAAGTTATACATTTACAGATTACGCGCACTTCCAAGATTTCGAAAAAAGGGATGTCGGATTCATATGGATTCGTAAGTAATATAAATGAAGTAAGAATGAGCATATTATATGTGAAAGTTGAACTAATAATAAGATTACTAGTAATGATTATTAGAAGATTCAAGAAAGCATCATTGAAAAGAAGACATACGAATCCCCAGTTTTATGACTGTTCAACCATCCTCTATTTTGGA